TATCTACCCTCTTCATCTCTTCTTACCGTGAGGAAGTGAGTTTTGTCTTGAGAGTCCTCTCGATGTGAGGTGTCGCGAGCGCTCAACCTTGAGAGTCGACATTCTTCCTGGGCAGCAAGCTGGTGGGAGACGGGCGAAGCCTCTGAAGGGCCCTGGACGAAGCACTCGGGTCACGGTCACCATGCCAACCCGCTGGGACTAGTACACGCATGCTTGGGCCGCAAGTCCTTGTTCTGCTGCTTGCGCAAATAGGGGTCAACTCGGGCATGGTAGTCTCTATGAGACGCTCACCAGACCGTCTATAAACATTTCTGGTTGGGGACTCGGATTGAATCTGGCTGTGATCGTCGTCCTGACTGCGACGTTACATAATTCCTGAAGAGATGGGGGCGCTCTTAATAATCCTCCTGATCAGCCAGATCAACCGGGTGTAAGGCTCGTCGGCGTACGACGGTAAATAAGAGTGTTGTGGCTGCCTTGCTCGACGATGACTTGAGGCACAGGGGTGGGACCGGATTGCACACCTTTAGACACGCTGCTCAACCAGATGCTCAGGGACGTTTACACAAAGTGATTACTCAAGAAGGATACAGGGGGAGGGGGGATTCCGGTAACTGTTCGCAGTGGCAATCAACAGACAATCTGCCATCAAGCATACATCTCCAACAGGAGATGTTATTCTTTGTTTTGATTATCTAGTTGTTACGGACTTGCTGACAGACAACTACAGATATATTAGATCTTTGCTGTATTGCAATCTGTTCTAGGGTAATCTAAAAATAGATGTAATATATCTTGTAGGACATGACATTAGTTGTAACTATTACACCCAATTGTTTTGTCCCATCCGACCGAAAGTAGTTGTGTTTCATAATCGGTTGTGTGTCAAGCTAAGGTAGGATTCAGTGTGGGTTCTAGTTTAGATCACACACACTGTAGCTCATGAGTGATGCAAGCACAAGTGAGGAGGAGCTACTAGTGGACGACCGTAGGACTACTCGCGGGACTGCCCGCAGTCGACCCTTGACAATCTTGGAGTTAGGTCCAGGAGACGAGAGAAGATTGAGGAGAGAGGCTAGAGAGAGGGCAGCGGCAAGGAGAGCGAGGGCAGCTGAGGACAGTGCTAGAGCTAGAATTACAGCTAGCATCAGTACAACCATTGCTACCTCATCTATGACGCAATCCTCTACACAGCCCACTTCGTCAGGAGTCAGTCAGAGTGGTACTCAGGCAGCCACTAGTCAGATTGGTCATGTGCGAGTCAGCCAATCTCCTATCACGCCGGAGGACTTGGAAATCCGGCAAGTAGAAGAACTTCAGGATGAGCTACAGCGGTAGATGGACGAAGTAGTAGAGAGGAGAAGGAAAGCTATGCAAAGAAAAGCTAGACTAGAGAGAGTAGAGCTCAAGAGCTAGGCAGTCTGGAAAGACTGGATGAGTCAATATTGGATCCTGCTGTTCGTGTGTTGCGAGGAGCCTTACTTTCAGTAGCGGAAGCGCAAAGCGTCCAACAGGAATTGTTGGCTGATTTGGTAGCAGGCCAGAAACAAATTCTGGCTGAACTTCGGGGCCCTCGCACAATGGTGAGGCAGCCGCCGTTTGCTGTAGTTCCCCCTGTAGGTGCGGGTCCATCATCGGTGCCGCAACGCACAGGGCAAACTTTCTCTCCCATGTTTGGCATATCCTCCCCGGGTGGTTTAGTAGCAACTAGTGGTCCGGTTCATTAAGTCTCAGCCGTACCATCTACAACAGTGGTCACTACAGTCCCACTGTCCAGCCAGGCCCAGGCTAGTGTGCAACAGCCTGTTTCAGTGGCTATGCAGCCGCTACAGCAAGCACCTGGGCCCATGCAGTCGATGCAGTGGATGCCCAAGATACCTCAAATGAGCCCCAAGCCTTTCTCTGGAGACAAGAAGAAGGAGGAAGACTTGGACACCTGGGTGAGGATTGTGCCTACTTATGTGAGGCACAAGCTCACAAGGCCAGAACAGGAAGTTGTGGTGGCTGCCTCCTTTTTAGAAGGATCAGCAGCCCGCTGGTTGAATGGCTTGGTGCATCAACAAGGCTACGGTCAGGATTTCGATGCTTGGGCTCAGTCTCAGACATTAGAACAGTTCGTACGGTCTGTCTACAACAGGTGGAATGACCCGCAAGGGGCTCAAAAGGCCACCGATGCTATCAACAACCTTTGTTTCCGTAGGTTCAAGGATGTTAGAGAGCTTACAGACACCGTAGAACGCCTCCTCGTGGTACCTGGTGTGCGTTTTGACCCGCAGGTTCTCCTAACGAACTACCTAAGGTGCCTACCTACAGAGGTAAGGACCAAGCTGGTTGACGAGGCCTATATCGACCAGCACACTTTTGCTTCTTTTAGTAAGAAAGCACTGGACATAGAGGCAAAGCTAGGATCTGCGCATAAGGCATCCAATGATGGTAGGAAGAGACTGCCACAAGACTGGAAGAAAAAGGGTCAGTTAATGTTCGTTGACCACGATGGTTAAACGACGGAGATTGACGACTATTCAGATCTTGGGGAGTTCACAGAGCACGATGGGGGTGGTGAGACTTCAGATGGTGGAGTTGTGGCACCCATCAAGGAAAAGGCTAGGGGGACCGGGAAGAAGAAGGTAGTACGGTCCACGGGTCAGGGCGACCAAGGAACACCGGCATGGGTGAAAATTGGTTTAGAATACGAGGTGTGGCGTGACCGCGTTGCGAGGGGTACATGCATGAACTGTGGCAACTTTGGCCACACGTCCAGGACTTGCCGCAGCAAGAAAGTCACAACGAAGGTAGCTTCACCAACGGTGGTGGGCTTATCTTCGAGCCCTGGGAGTGCTTCTGCGAGCAGCTCACAGGGAAACACCTCGGGCAAGTAGGAGTGTTAGCCGCTCTTACTCGCGCTGAAGTGGTAACGTTGCCTTCCCCACTTCAGGCGTTGACCAAGGCTAGTGACCCACGTATCGCCCCGCAGACACATTCAGACCCACCGACGCTCTGTTCGAGAGATGTGTCTGAGGCCCTAGAAGAGTTAGAGACTGAGTGGTCAGGAAAGGACCCCTGGGACTCTTGGGCGATGACGAGTGGAGGTCCAAAGGGTGAACATTTCGTGGTAGAAGTAGATGTAGGTGGCCGCAAGATTGGCGCCTTCGCAGACACAGGCTCTATACGAAATTTCATCAGTCGTGCTTGTGTGGATAGATTGCGCTTAGGGGACCAAGTGCAGCGGCTTAGCAGAACTGTAGCTT